CCTCCAGTCTTCAGTGTCACATGATCTTCAGAAATCATTATAATATGCTGATTTGCTGCTCAAGAAACATTTCTGATTATTAGCAATGTTGAAAACAGCTGTGCTGCTTCATAATGTTTGTGGATGCTTTTCAGTATTCTTTAAATTATAATAGGTCATAAGAATCAGATCTATTCATTTATGATATTAGGTTTTACTGATTTGTGTGTTGGATTTTTAACTCAATGTTACATAGTTTAAAGGTGTTTTTGCACTGATTCCAGATTGATCATTTACTTGATATGAATAATCTTATCTTTTGGTTTGTTTTCATCAATTCCAGATTTTCAAATAGTTGTATATCGGCCAAATATCGTCCCATCCTAACAAACCATACATCAATGGAAAGCTTTTTTTTTTTTAAATGACCCTTATGACAGGTCTTGTGGTCCAGGGTCACATATTTGAAACATATTGATACTCATTTTTAAATCCTACTTAGCAGTGCATCCTGCGTAGTACGCAGTAAGCTAGTAATGCTGGCTTGTGGTGATGCACTGACAGGTCACATTTGTATGCAACTCACAGACGTCACAATGGCTTCATTAAGCGCTGCATTATGACGCAATAGAAGCCGTTTCAAGGCCGCGATTGCGTCACAATGACAGCCGCCTTCATCTTTAGTATTCTACAAAGGCCTTTACTAAACATGTATTTATTTGCTCAATAAACGCATTATGTGTTTTGTTTGATTAAATGGGTTCTCTCACCTGGTGGTGGTGGTTGTAGTTGTTCCGCTGCTGCAGAAAGGCGCCCTGCTGCGGGGGGATCTGCGGGCTGACCGGGGACCGGCGGCTCTGCGGCGGCGCGTTGATCTGCGGGGAGAATGGGCTGCTGAAGCCCTGCACCGGGCACGGGTTGGCCGAGAAGCTCTGGAAGAAGCCGGGGTTGATAGAGGAGGGGATGCCGGGGTAGAAGTTGTCAGGCTCGGTGGTGGGGATCGGGTTTATTGCGTTGGCGGCATTGGTGACGGGCGGAGGCGGGGAGCTCGTCCGCACGGACCACGGCGTCCCGAAAGCGGGCAGGGAGGGAGAAACCGAGCCGCCGCCGCCGGGGCTCTGCATCTCCGGGAACGCGGCCGCCGCGAGCATGTTATTGCCGCCGGTGCCGTTGTTGATGTGGTGCGCGCTGGGGGACTCCATCTGGGGCTTCACCTTGGACGATGGCGCATCGGTGTCCAGGCCCGTGGAGGAGGAGGAGTACGGCTGCTGCTGCGGCGGCGGCGGCTCAGTCTGCTGATGTATGTTCCGGTCGCGCTGAAGGTCACCGGCTGTCTGTGCGTGACCTACAGCGGAGAAGCGGCTCAGGTCGCTGTCGGCGGCGCTGCTCTGCTCGCTGTTGGACTGAGAAGCTGTCAGCCCCGCAGGCTCATCCTGCATGTTGCGCTGATGTGACGGGAAAAGAGGGGACACCAGAGGCGAGCTGCTGGGGCGCACCGGAGACGCGCTGGGATAGGGTGTGAATGCGCCTCCGCCGAAACGTGTGGAGCTGCTGCTGATGTTCGCTGTCTGCAACAAACCGAACCCGTAATCACCCATTTAACTGCGTCAAAACAGCGCAGCTCTCCAATTCCCAGGCCTGCTCAAGAACAATAAGAGAGGCACTGTGTCCTGTAACTTCCTAAAGCCTGTTTGGAGCGAGAGAGGAGGAGCTTTCGGTCGCCTTTTTACGTACTGTAGATATTGTTCTCGGATTTAATTGTCTGCGGCTTTTTTTAGCCGTTCTAGCCGTCCGACCGACCGCGCATCCCCCTCCTCGCGTTACCGGCGGATCTGATCTGCTGCTGCGGCAGAGGATTAAAACTCCTGCATGCGCGTCACCGCCGCGTCATAACGCCCGCCTCCCTCACAGCCGCAGAGAGAGCCGCAATGTGCGCGTCGCTCATTCATTATTCAGGAGGTGCAGCAGAGCAGAGCATGTCGGAAATATGGCAGCTGCTCGGTCAAATGCTTGTTCGGGTGTCTTCCAGCCTTTTCACCTTTAGCCTTTATAATCTGCCGAGGTTACACTCATGCATCATGCGTGGCTGTAATAAACCAGTAATAAACGGCGTACTGTGCTTGGTAACCAGACGGAATTATGAACATTCACATATCATATTACACGGCAGACCTTCGGTGCCTGATAAAACATTTTGATTATGTTAGCACATGGCAGTGGAGCATATAAGTGTAGCACAGTCCATAGTATGCAGTGTGTTCCGCAGTATACAATGTACTATATTATACTGTTTATAAGTATTTAGTAGTCTTTATTGTATAGTATGTATAGTATATAGTGTATTCTATATAATGCACTATGTAGTATACAGTCTAGATTATACTGTAGCATAGTACACAGTAAGTAGTGTAGTATATTCTATGTAGTGCACTATATAGTATACACTTTATTATTTAATGTATTTTGTAGTGTATACTTAGTGTAGTATATTCTATATAATGTACTATACTATTTAATTTATACCGTACATACTGTATACTTAACAGTGTAGTATATGTATATAATGTACTAAACAGTGTTGATTATACTGTAGTATTTAGTACAATGTAGTACACAATCTAGATTGTACTTTAGTAGTCAGTACATACAGTAGTAAGCAGTATAGTACTGTATATTCAGTGTAGTACACTATTTAGTATGCAGTTGTTTATTATTATCGTGAAGAAGTGTATACTATGTTGTGCAGTATAGAACACGGTGTTACACGGCAGACCTTCAGTGCCTGATAAAACATTTGGATTATGTTAGCGCATGGCAGTGGAGCATATGAGTGTAGTACAGTACATAGTATGCAGGGTAAACTATACAATGTTCTATATTATATGGTTTAAAAGTATTTAGTAGCCTATATGTATAACATATAGTGTGGTATATTTCTTATAATGTACTTTATAGTACACAGTCTAGATAATATTGTAGCATTCAGTACATAGTATGTACTGTAGTATATCGGATGTAGTGTATTATATAGTGTGTGCAGATGTTTATTATGCAATATATTGTGTAGTGTATACTTAATTGTGTTGTGAACACTATATAGTGCAGTAAATCCTATATAATGTACTATACAGTTTAGATCAGGTGTTCTCAACGTTTACATTCAAAGGTCCGAATCTGAATTCTCATCAACGTCAAAATGTCCGAAATAATTGTTAGCCTATTGCAAAACTTGTTTTTAATAAACAGGCTTATAACTTTATATAACAATTCAACTTTATCCACCTTTTTCTTGTCATAAAAATG